CACCGATTCCGCCCTGTCACAAAGCTCTCGTAAAGCCTGAGATCTCGTAAATTTTTCTCGTAGCATTCGTACTTCCTAATCTTACAAGTATAGGAGGCACGAATGCTACTATGTAAAATTACGAAGATTTTAGCTTCTTCGACAACTTTTGGGTGAGAGCAAAGAAACTCTAATTCTCTGCATATGACATGACCCGGGAGTTCGGTGGCACAAACGAAGGAGGTCGTGTTAAGCTTCATTAAATAGGGGAAGCAGAGAATGTTGGCGATAGTACACAATGCCATTTAGACAGTGGTCAAATGTAACGCCGTATATTGCCGTTATATATTTAGGATTACACTTTCCTTAGTAAAAGTAGAAATTACAATTGCATATGGGTCCTATTCTCTAGACTCTGAGGGGTGTGGGTTCGAATCCCGGATCGGACTCAACCCAACGAGAAAGTACTAGAATCTGTACTTTACAAAGTAAGGTAATATAATATAAATATGTTACAGCAGAGTAATCGTTATTAATGTTGCGTTCGTGCGAAATTATGCATACATGGATTCAGATTTACAGAACTTGTCCCAAGGAAACAAAACTTCTGAAAAAATAATCATTTCATAAAGCTTTTGAATTGAATTGGTTTATACAGTCATATATTATCTAGTTTGTTTTACTAACTTTAGAATCTGATACAGACGTCAGTTACTTTCTCAATCCGATTCTACTCTCGCTGTCACCTCTCCGCTGAGTTCAAATATCACTTTTTTATCGTATCCAACCGCAATATTTCTATCACAATAGTCCCCTAAAGAAGCCTAGAATCAGAAACATAAAACTATCTATAGCTTCTTTTTTAAAGAAAGTTAGGAATTGCTGAATTTCTCAACACTGAGATGTCAAACGACAACCTTGTCAATCTCGGCTGTTCGGACATGTTGACAATCCAACTGACAAGGTGCGTCCCTTCACAATAAGACATAACCCGTTGTGACACGGTTACGCATTGCATTAGTATTCACTCTGATCAGGTCAAGAAGCTAGTTTAAGCTGAACAAGCTGTACTTATCCCAGTTTTGACAGTGGTCATTCTTTTTCCATTCTGTTGTTAGTCAGTTTTGTAACTAGAAACCTCACACCTCAACGGATCAGTGACCAAGACGCTGTCAAAATGGGATACTACCTATTACAGTACAACCAGAAATTACTGAAAATTTAAAGATTGTAATTTTTAATATTTTTTTCACTCATTACTCACGCATTAAATGTGAATATTAGCAGAACATAACTCCAGATTCAAAGACAGGTGAACAGTTAGTATTTTGTCAAGTCACCATGGGCAGCAATGCAGGCTTCAATGCGGCGGGGCATACTACTGATCAAAAGTTAGAAAGTCGTGGTCCATGCTGTCCCAATATCGGACCACCTCTTCTTTCATTTCAGCAATATTTTGTCAGATTTTTCTTATTGACACTTTCCTTCATAAGTCCCCAAACATTTGCTATTGGATTTAGGTCAGGGCTATCCAATCTAATAATGTCATGTTTTGGGTCCGAAACCAGGCCTGTGAATGCTTTGAACGATGTTTTGGGTCGTTGTCCTGCTGGAAAATCCAAAAATTTCCATAGAACACTTAAGAAGATGGAAGTAAATGTCCCTCGAGAATATCTGTGTACCGCTCACTGTTCATATTCCCTTCAAATACACAGAGGGGCGTTGCCCCTAACACAGATATGCCACCCCACACGTTAAATTTCGGTCTGTACTTTCGGCGCTGATACAAAGGTTTTTCAGTTTGCTTGGTCCAGAATTTCAGTGTATTAGGAAACAGCCACACAGAACTTTCATCTGAGAAAATCACATTGTCCCAGTTAAAATTTCTATGCTGTAAGCACCAGTTCAACCTTCGCTCCTTTTGTTCAGGTTTCATGATCGGTGATGGAATTCCTCGACTTTTCTGCCAACCCATTGTATGCAGCTCAGTTCTAATTGTCTCCTTACAGACAGCCACAGTTCCTCTATCAATCATATCCAGCCTCAAGTTTTCTAAACTCCTTCGTTTGTTTTTAGAAACAAGAATAGCAAGCCGCCTCCTGTCACCGACAGTCAATTTTCTGGGCCTACCTGCGCCTCCCTGGTGCTCAATGCCATATCCATTTGCAATATATTTCAAAACACGATACACAGTAGACAAAGTGATGCCTGTTCTACTTGAAATCACTTTACCTGATCTGATGTCCTTGTTATAATACTCTAAAATCAACTTCCTCTTCTCTAAATCATCCATACTGTCGTCTGCTTGCAAGTAAACAAAGTGGGATAACTCTTCACAAACTAATGAAAAAGGATTAACGGAGTTGTCTCTCTTAAATGAAACCAAGCACTTGATAGCTGGTCAAGGTTGTTTATACTAGAAATCCAATTAAACATATTCCTAAAATTCTCAATAATTTCTGGTCATACTATATAGCAAACACCTAATTATAGCCAATACGTAAAAATCACCATTGTTTAAATAGAAAATATATTAACAAGATTTAATCCTTCCAACAGTAAACCTTTCCTTTATGTCGAGCAACATTAAAACTCCAACAGTTGGTGTCTAGATTTTCACAACGTACAGTTTATCGCCCCATTTTTACAAAAATTGTAGACAGTGTCATGCGACTCTTATTCAAACGTTTATTATCACAATTCTAACATTCAAGGCCTTGGTAAACCCTCCGCAAGGTTTTATGGTTTACATGAAGGGGATACTTCCACATCTGATGTATTCGTGACAATACGACATCCAGACACATTACGAGCATGAGACGACGGTGTCCGGCTGTGAGGATACTACGTGGGTCACAAACGCGCTATACTGAGAGATGGTTTATTGGACAATTAACCTGTTAACGTGTGATCTGACTGATTATTGGTCACATGTCGTTTGTTTACAGTTCTTTTAACATGTCTTCACACAATATTGTCTTAGCTATTCCAACATGCACACAACTGATCCTTAGCAAACATTACAATATAATATAGACGCCGGAATATCGGCGTTTTGGGGAGCAAATGGTTCAAAAGTACCCCTAAGGGAACCACGATGTTGGCTTGGTTATCTTCCCGAACACAGCCGCGGTGTTCGGACACCTATTCCTTCTGATATCTTGCTGAACACTGCCATCGTGTCATGTTAAGATAGCAATACGTTTCTGACATTTTCACGAACGCAACTGAGGTGCCGTTTTGGGGATACTTACTCTGTTCTGATATATTCCAGAACACTCCCATGGTGTCACGTTCCAATACTTACCCCGTTCTAATAAATTCCCGAACACTTCCATGTTGTCACGTTCCAATACTTACTCTGTTCTGATAAATTCCCGAAATCTTCCATGTTGTCACGTTCCAATACTTACTCTGTTCTGATATATTCCCGAACACTTCCATGTTGTCACGTTCCAATACTTACTCTGTTCTGATAAATTCCCGAACACTTCCATGTTGTCACATTCCAATACTTACTCTGTTCTGATAAATTCCCGAACACTTCCATGTTGTCACGTTCCAATACTTACTCTGTTCTGATAAATTCCCAAACACTTCCATGTTGTCACGTTCCAATACTTACTCTGTTCTGATAAATTCCCGAACACTTCCATGTTGTCACGTTCCAATACTTACTCTGTTCTGATAAATTCCCGAACACTTCCATGTTGTCACGTTCCAATACTTACTCTGTTCTGATAAATTCCCAAACACTTCCATGTTGTCACGTTCCAATACTTCTACTCTGTTCTGATAAATTCGAACACTTCCATGTTGTCACGTTCCAATACTTACTCTGTTCTGATAAATTCCCAAACACTTCCATGTTGTCACGTTCCAATACTTACTCTGTTCTGATAAATTCCCGAACACTTCCATGTTGTCACGTTCCAATACTTACTCTGTTCTGATAAATTCCCAAACACTTCCATGTTGTCACGTTCCAATACTTACTCTGTTCTGATAAATTCCCGAACACTTCCATGTTGTCACGTTCCAATACTTACTCTGTTCTGATATATTCCCGAACACTTCCATGTTGTCACGTTCCAATACTTACTCTGTTCTGATAAATTCCCGAACACTTCCATGTTGTCATCACGTTCCAATACTTACTCTGTTCCTGATATATTCCCCAACACTTCCATGTTGTCACGTTCTAATATACTTACTCTGTTCTGATAAATTCCCGAACACTTCCATGTTGTCACGTTCCAATACTTACTCTGTTCTGATAAAGTCCCGAACACTTCCATGTTGTCACGTTCCAATACTTACTCTGTTCTGATAAAGTCCCGAACACTTCCATGTTGTCACGTTCCAATACTTACTGTTCTGATATATTCCTTGACTACACAGTATAGTAGCATTTCTCCGCTCTCTCGCTGTAAGCTTGTTTGGGTGACGATAACGGCTGCCCCGTAGGATAGCGATCGCTTCTGAGCAGTCAATTCAACACTACACAAGATCCGAGACTTCTGTCTTTCCATTGTTTCACTGTCCGGATCACCTGGAACCCTTTCAGTTACAGATGCGAGCGACTTTGCCTTCGCATTGCTAACGACAACAGCGTCCTTCTGCTATTACGTTTTCCTCATTCCATATGCTGTGTTGGGCGGGCGGGAGGATCGAACCCAAACACCTGAGGCATAAGCATGTCTATGTTGACATCAATCTCCCTGTTTCTGACTGGGGACTTGCCCCGAACATTCAACTGTTCATTTTCAGATTTCTTCCACGCGTCTCTATGGCGACCATATGTACCATACTGTGGTCTGGAGAATGGGACCGAGTACTATCGATTTCTGGAAGCTTATTCTGTGAGTTTCTGGTTATAAACGGTTTCTTTGCCTTCACCGACGGAATCATCTGGGGGTCAAAACTTTTCGGTCTGTTTGTATGAGTATTACTGACACGGTTTTCTCGAAACAACGAAAAGGAAGTTTTAAGGGACACAGGACGACATGACGCTATCCAGTTCACAGTTTCCTCAGATGAGGCGGAGACCGGTGGCAGACGGTCACGGTAAACAACATCCTGCAAAGTTCCCGGAGTCTGTAGACGTTGTTGTCGGAGTAGACGTAGTAGAGTCTGATCTGGCCATCATGCCTGGAAGGATAAAGCCTTCCTCCACACCCTTCACCATGAGGAGATAGGCAGCTGAGGCACTGTCTACCTTCCTCTCACTGACAGAGTAAAGCAGTTCCCTTTCATTAAATCCAAAGTACTGGGAGAGGTATCTGACTATGTTAGTATCTACAGGTTCTGGTGTGACCTTGAGAACCTGGGGCTGACGCGGAACGGGTGCGCGGCCATCTTTGGTGAGCCAGGGTGAGTTAGAAGGTCGTCCATCGTTATCCTCTTGTTGAAAGGCTCGAGCAGACGACATAGAAAGTCTTTGCAACCTGCACGAACACATTAATATGTTATGAACATGTCAGTAAAGTAACATTGCTCTTAACCTTTGTAGAAATATCGATCAGTTATGTCTGACTCTTGAAATTCAATGAATTATTTACTCAGCTACGTGCACCGTAGCACGTTACAGTCTGCGACAAAGCAGGAAGATGGGACTGGGACAGAAACCATAGAATCACTTAAGATACTCTGAAAAAAGTTACAGTCGTTATGGTGTACGTATAGGTGAGTGAAGTTTGTACACCGTTGTCAATACACCAATAGACTAACATATCGTCTTTGGAATGAACAGAAAAACGGTTCTTTAATTATCTTGATAAAATATATTGAAAAGAAGCCCAGACTCTTTCATCATTTTCAGACGGGCAATCTAGACTTGCCACACATTCCACACTTGCTTGGACTGTATAGGGTATATTTGTTTCAGTGTGTGTATGACGGATCAGCGAGTCAGTGTAACTGTATAGAAATATCGGACAGTTACTTTATCCAGGAGTTCAAACTAGGTGACTTTGGCAGGCAAATTGAAAAAATAGACTGATACTGAGAGTTCTTATTTGCGTAAATTCTTTAAAAACAATCCGGAATGACTACTCAAAATATTTCTACTATCATGTTTTCCAGACTTGGCATTGTCTAGTCAAATCCGTAGTCTAACGTCTCTGAATTTATCTGTCAAAGTATCCCCAAGCTTAAATATAGCCTGTTTATATAAGGATCCCCATTGTCTTATTTTGTCAACAAAACGCTACTGTTGCAGACAGTAGGCAGACATTACCTGGAGACAGACCCTCTGGAATCCGACAGCCTTGGATGATGTTGGCGTGGATCTGCTGCATAGAGGTCGGGGTGTCTGACATGAAAGGCAGTTTGCCGCACAGCATTGTGAAGACGCACACACCTCTGAAATACATGTAAAATGTGTTTTACAGATACAGTTGTACAGTTTATGCGTATATTACTATAGGACAACACTTTACAACGGTACAATCAGAAGCTTCCTTCTTGCTTAACAACAACAATAACTATTTGCAAAATAACTTGAAATTAACTCTTTGCAGCCAAACTAACCCCTTTCAAACTGATCGCCTCTGTGGTGTAGTGGTTAGAGCGTCCGCCCAGAGAGCGGAAGGTCGCGGGTTCCATCCCCGACCGCGTCATACCAAAATACGTTAAAATATGGTACTTGTTGGTCCCAGTCTGGCGCTCGGCATTAATGGGTACAACAAGGACTGGTCGGCTCGGAGTCAGTATAATGTGTCTGAGTGAGGTATTCATGCTTCACTGCGGCATGGTATCTCAGTGGGCTAGCACTATAAAACCAGCTTCAGTCTGGGCTAGTACAAGCAGCCGCACATACACATACACACGCATGCACGTCGTCATATGAGCGAAATATTCTCAAGCACGACGTTAAACCCAATTTCCCCTCACCTTACCTTTCAAACTGTACCCTCGTTGACGGATTGTTAAACTTCCACTTTGCAAGGACTGAGTATCTCGAGAGATTTGCTGTTCTTGTGCTCCTTATGTTTTGAGATATTTAATGACGCTCATGGCTCAGCCTTCTGTTTGTGAATGATAGATTTTCAAACTAACTTATTTAACTGTTTACTGTAAACTCCAAATCTGAGGTATTAGTTGAGGCAGTAAGGGTACTACAACCAATCATGTACTCTGTATAATCTCACATGCTCCATATATCTGCAGCTGGTCCGCCCTGCTTCCCCGTGAACATCTCGGGGGCGACGTAGGCCGGGGACATTCCCTGTCCAGGTTGGGAGGAACCGGGGCCGGGGTGGCTCCCCTGTCCGAAATCTGGGACACACAGTAAAAACCGGTTTTTAGACTAATGATGTATAGCCATGCTATAATGATGATATATCATGATGTCTAATGACCAACCAGTTGGCATCCACGTGTCTAGTGACCATGGATTGAGGTCCTTCGGTTTTATTGCTTGAACAACGAAAATACATTTTTGTGTTTTTTTTCGAGAAATAATGATGATGGTTCTTTCGAAATACACAATGTACAATTTACAACTTATATTATGATATTATATTCAGAATGATGAAGTACTGATGACATACCGCTTATTTTCAAGTTCAAATCCTTGTCCAGCAGAAAGTTGTCCAATCGAAGATCTCTGCAACATAAACATTACAGATGAAAGAAGCTTTCGGGTTGTTCTCAAGTTTGAGCGAGCCGGTCATTCAATTTATCTAGAATAAGGTCACTGATGTGAAATATGAATATACGCATTAATATCGTGTATATCTATGTGTATGCTACTTGAGGTGAAAAGAGATTTGTGTCTGAGTGAGCGGTCTAATGGTAATCTATCGGCAATATTTCAGCTATCAGTTCTGTAAATAATGGAGCGTGGACCAGACAGTCCAGTGATTGACATGATCATTTGTCTATGCAACTGGGATACAAAGATATGCGCCAACAAAACCAACGAGTCTGAACCCCGGTTCTGTTAAGTCCATTAGGCTTACTACAAGCACTGGTTCCTGAATAATTTAACGGATGGTGTGTCTTTGTACTAGTCTGCACTTATGCCGGGTCGTCAGGTTCGCTGACTTGGTTGATCCATGTCATCCTTTCCCAATTGCGTAGATCGATGCTCAAGATGCCAATCACTGGACTGTCTGGTCCACGCTCGCCGTCAAATAGCTGGAATCTTGCTGACTCGGAGTTTAACAACAGACAAACATTCTTACCTGTGGACAATGCCAGACACGTGCATGTGGTCCACTGCCGACACAAGCTGGGAGACAAACTTCCGGGCTTCGTTCTCGTCAAGACACCGCCTATATTGTGTGAGGATGCCCTTTTAATACATGTATATGACATATGAAAATATGTAACAGGTATCCACATGGACACTTAGATCAGTAAAGCGTTTACACGACCCTATAGGAATTGAGGTCATCTCTACCCCCAACACACGGAGCGAATGGAATAATAGTCATATTTGCGTCATTAAAATGTATTTTTCCTCATTCCAGAGTTAGAGAGTTGGGTTTCTGACCACTTTTAATAGTAGTTCCGTAATACCACAGCATGTCGGATTTATGTCGGAACGTTTATCCCTTCGCTGACAACCATGGGAAAAGGTATGCTCCTAAACCAAGCAACATAATCGGGGAAAACTGGGATCGTGGCGTGCCCAAGGGACACAACTCTGCACAGCTAATTGCGGTGCCTCAGGCGAAAGGGACATCCATGCCCAGGCTAGATGGTGGTAGACAGCCCCGTGATTAAAGCGTTAGCTCGTGAAGTTTGAATGCACAGGTCCGATTCCGAAAATGTGATATTGCTGGAAAGTTGCTAATACGAGTAAAACCCCTTGATCACTCACGTTCTGCCGAAAAATATATGTTTAAAATGAAACTAATGAGCAAATTATGTAACTGTAATACATCGAACATAGCTGAAGAAACGGAGTGATGTCTCACTTTTGAGCCAGGTATTGACAGAAGTGCCCCCTTTCGGCCAACTCGAGAACCAGGTAGTAACTGTTCGGTGTCTCCATGGCCTCGTACAAACGGATGATGTTTGGGTGGTGGACATATTGAGACAGAAGTGCCTGTCGCCGGAAGTGACGCCGTGCACTTTCTTTCTGAACCAACAACTTCTTTGGTATAGCCTTTACTGCCACCTGCAAATCAAAGACAAATGAAATGAATTGTTATGTATGTCAAGAATCATCTACGACTATTGGGTAGCTTCATGAATGATAACGATCGATACCATACAAGCCACGTTAATACCCTTTCCGTTAAGCCCTGTTGGGAACTCTGGATCCAGTTCCACAAAGCGATCGTAGCGCTAAGATGATCGTAACTCCCACACTTTAACACAGACTTACGACAGTCGTAGCGCTACGATCGCTTTGAGGAACGGGGCCTTTGGTCCCGATCCACAAAGTGTTCGTAAAGTTACGACCTGTCGTAACTCTATAATTCATCATTAGCATACGAATGTCGTAGCGCTACGAACGCTTTGTGGATCGGGACCCTGGATCCGACCAGCCTGCCAAAGAGTTCACTTAATAGAACACTCTGATTTTGTCGAGATACGGTATCGACGCTTGCTCATGATATCAATCATAGGTCTGCCGTTACAGCGGTGGCATTATGCTGTGTGCGGCTTTAACCAACCAACAAACGGCTCTGCTGAAGAATAGTGTATATTTGCCCAGTACTTCAACAGTAATTAAAGATAACAGTAATTAAGCTATAAAGACAACTGAGTGTTCTAACTGAAGTGAGCGGTGGTGTAGCCCAGTGGTTATAGCGTTCGCTCGCCACGCAGAAAACACGGGTTTGATTCCCCACATGAGTACAATGTGTGAAGCCCATTTCTTGTATCCCCCCACAGTGATATTGCTGGAATATTGCTAAAAAACGGCGTAAAACTAAAACTCACTCACCGTCATTGAAGTATAGCTGCACACACAAACACACTGGTGTCAATACCACAATCAAGAGCACCGTTGACATTGTTTGATCGGCAAGTTACCTTTAGCTTGATAACCATGTAAGAATCTACATTCCCCTACTGCGTTTTGCATGTATTACTATCTTGGCTGCTGCTAATTAATATTCAAACTTCCAAAATACCATACGACACTAAACATATTTTACAGAAGGCTGGCGCTCAGAATAATTACATATTTATTAGACTACATAATCACATTTTTTTTCATTTCAGTATGAAAATATACATGGCAAAGAGAATAGCAGGTGTAAGATGATGTTCATTAACTCCGGCTGCGATAACCCTGGCCGTGTCCCACGACCTTTACCATAAAGACATTACACTGTCTCCTATATATATATATTACTTCTTGTACACACAAAAGACCATGATCATACCCACGCTGCTTGTGTCGATCTACGAGTAATAATACCTCTCTACAAATGGAAGAAAAGTAACAAAGAAAATAGTATGGGATTACCGCCAAAGACGGTCTCCGTGGGGTGGCGATATTTAACCACATTTGGTCATTTCCAAACCTTATCAATCATTATTTTCATAAGCACCGACAGGCTTTTTATAATGAGAAAGAGTCCAGCTTGATTTACACAAATCCCAGAGACACTGCGTCTTAGCATACAGATCGTTATTACAACTTTCCCATTCGGTATGTGTTGAGTATGTAACGTGACCCCACCCCTGTGTTGTATTTGTCAGGATTATATTGAAACTGTTTGGAATTACCTGTCTAGAATAGGCTTTCAGTGAAAATGTCATAGCAGTCTGTTGGTGAGGCTGCATAAATACTCACAGTTGGTTTATTCCTAGTTTACAAGTAACCTCAAACATCCGAGTACAAGGCGACAAAGCACAGTGTCGCCATGATTTGTCAGGCTGCTCCAAAGCATTGGCCTCATTGTATGGTTAAAAGGTTGTTACAACGTTTCACGATCACCGCCTCTAGTTTTTGAATGGTGGTCTCTCGTCAACTGTATTTATATTCAATGCAGCAGGCATATAAATATACTGTACATAAGGTATTAAAAGTGAGTTCGTATGGTTTTATGCCGTTTTAGGAATTATATTCCAGCAACATCACACCAGAAATGGGTTTCACACATCGGACACGTGTGTGGAATTCGAACCCGGATCTTCGGCGTGTTGAGGGAATGCTTTAACTATTAGGCTACCCCACCGCCCCAAGTATTAACATGAACACCAAGCGTCCTTTGGGTCTTTGAGTTGGTTATAAGTTACGGACATTCACGTTTAGATTTTCCAAATCATAATCATGTTTTCTCCAAGTAGGGGGCGGTGGGGTAGCCTAATGGTTAAAGCATTGGCTCGTCACGCCGAAGACCCGGGTTCGAATCCCCACATGGGCACAATGTGTGAAGCCGATTTCTGGTGTCCCCCGCCGTGATGTTGCTGGAATATTGCTAAAAGTAAAAGCGGCGTAAAACCAAACTCAGTCAGTCAGTCCAAGTAGAATTATACCCTTGATTATATTCAGAATCATTTCCACAGACAAATGTCTTGCTTAGATACGAGAGATATCAACATACCTCTTATAAACTCAAATAAATTATTGAATATAGACAGGAATCAGGTGAATCTCAAATGTACGATTTTGGAATAAATATTTCAAAACATTTTCCAGTTCTCTCGTAATCCAAGATTGTAACCAATCGTTTGTCGTCTTGGTACGCGTATATTACGAGACACCCGCCTATACCCGGCAGACAGGGAAACGGTAGCAAATAAGGGTGCAGACACTGACAGTCCGACTAGTTTGTCAAAACCGCAAACCCCATTTCAAAAATACTCTCCATTTCTAATCAAGCAAACAATCCTGCAACCAGCATGAACGCTTCAATTAGTATTTTTCAGTGAGGGCGGTATTATGTGAAACTTACGTGCCCATAAGTATGGAATACTGTAAGGGACATTCTCGCGATCTCGCATTCTCGCGATCTCGTCCTTTGGAAACAAGCTAAAAATGCCAAAAGTGCGAGAATGCGAGATCGCGAGAACGCGAGATTTGGCCAAAATCTCGCGTTCTCGCGATCTCGCATTCTCGTGTTTTGGTACATAACACTTTTTTGTCAAAGTCGAGATCGCGAGAATGCGACATTTGTACATGCTGTCAAATCTCGCATTCTCGCATCTCGACTTGTCAAATATGGCCATTAAACACGAAATCGCGAGAACGCGAGAATGCGACATTGCATTTCCTCGCGTTCTCGCGATCTCGCGATCTCGCGTTTTAGACGCTGTCGTTGCGCATGCGTATTATCATAAGGTCAAGGGCGCATGCGTATCTTAGTAGTGCTGTGGTCATGCTTCTTCGTGCTTTTCATTTCCTAAGTAGCATTTAGCAAAATTATCGCATAGCTTGAAAATGCTATGTAATTTACATACACGATGTGTAGGGTAGTGTATATAAGTCCGCTGCCGTTGTTTCCTACATTGTTTTCCTATGTACTTAAAAAAAAATCCTCAACGTGTTTAATATAATTTAACAAACGAAATTGTGAATATGAATGTCCAATAAAAGTGAAAACATGAAAGTGTCCGGAAGCTGGATATATATTAACGTCAGTGAGTGATAAAATAGTGCTCAAAGCCGCATTAATTCGCAGCTACACCGTCAGTTATACAAATAATCACAGACCAGTGAGTTTCTCCATGATGCAATATCATATACGGCTAGCATATTCATTCAGACAAAATTCTAACAGGCCAATTTCTAGCAGTCGGCTAAAATGAGCATGTCTGATGTTTTACTCGACACCATATTCGCTACTTTAATAGATTTTCTTCCGCTCCCGCCTGATTACAAAACATCCTGCTTTATACTATGCTTTTGTCTTCAAGTTCCAAGAAATAGAAAAGCATGTGTATAGCTAATAGTTGTGTTCCTGTGGCAGCCATGATCTGGCGGAGTTCCAATGTGTTATTAACCACAGACTACGGGTTATGAGTGAGATATCTGTTTATTTCCATATCGTGGTGGAAGAAGACACCCTGTAATAACGATAATATACACGATATATACAACATAAAATCACATCTGATGAACATGTCATCATAATAAATATAGTGCATAAATGTGCCTATCAAGAGTCATATACCGGTATTACGCGATGCAATATATAACACAGGTGACTCACGTGATCACGTGTTTACAGTGATATACAAAATGAGTGTTGACATAGAGACTTATAATAATACATGGTATAATAATGAAATAGACAATAGATACTGTACAAATAACCTATCCTGTGGGTTACACGAGAATGGGTTCTATGAATCCAGCAGCCGAACAGTCATCGCATGCACTAATCCCATATAAGAATCTTTGTCAAGTACATACAATATACATGGTAGATGAGATGTATCAATCTTACATGATACAGAAAATAAACAACTACTAGCCAGCATATTGACAGGACATATAGAAAACTACCATTAGCACATTCATACACGTTAAATGGCATATTGTGTATTGACTTTTATTTTGTTATCATGGGAATATTAATACCTATTTTGTGTAATGATTAATATTAGGGTTTAATTTACTATGTATGTTATATTATAATGCATAATAACTAACCTTTGATTCTGACCAAACTGTCACACAGAACTGTACATGAAACACAAAGACACCCGTGAAGGTCCGCGTTAGAAGGTATCTTCAGGAACCCGTGTTTGTCGTAAGAGGCGATTAACGGGATCGGGTGGTCAGGCTCGCTGACTTGGTTTACACATGTCATCGGTTCCCAATCGCGCAGATCGATGCTCATGATGTTGATCACTGGATTGTCTGGTCCACACTCGATTATTTACATACAGCCGCCATATAAACCAAACTCAATCACTCACTCACTGAAACACAAGGACAAGAGGCAGCTGAACTGACAACTAATTGCAACTTAAATGCATAAAGAATTCGTCGCCTGCGAGACCACTATATCCTGATATAAGATAATGATGATTAGTTATTCATTTACGTACACAATATACAACCACCTAATTCACCCTCTTACATTCCTACTTTCTTTACTTGATGAACATGCATGATGCATGTGAATCGAATCCTTCACAGTAAATGTACACAGGTGCCTTAAAAGTTCGATTAGACAAAAATTAAATGTAAATAAACATACTTCCGACCTCCCATGATTTTTAGAAATTAATCAAACTCTGTCTATTAATTTATTGCGGCCTTACCTTCAAAAGCTCGACATGCTAATATTGAAATTAACCCCATTCACAGCCCGGGGCACGTGCATTGCTCTAAATAAGGAGAGTGAGTTTGGCTTAACACGACTTTCAACAGTATTTATCTTTCAGTTATATCACGGATTATCAGTTCGATGTAGGATGAAACCCACCAGCATAGGTTTTTGGCACGCTCAAGGGACGCAACTCTATTGCCACGACTGAGCTACCCGTGATCACAGTTCAAGATGACTGTATAGGTAATTGGTAGAAAAACGCGAGATCGCGAGATCGCGAGATTTGTCAAATGTCGCAATCTCGCGTTCTCGTGTTCTCGTGTTTTTGAAAATCGTTACATAGAACTGTATGGGCAATTGGCACAAAAGCACGAGAACGCGAGAACGCGAGATCGCGAGATTTGTCAAATGCAATCTCGCGTTCTCGCGTTCTCGTGTTTTGAAAATCGTTACATAGAACTGTATGGGCAATTGGCACAAAAGCACGAGAACGCGAGAACGCGAGATCGCGAGATTTGTCAATAATGTCGAATTCAGTTCTCGCGTTCTCGTGTTTTTGAAAATCGTTACATAGAACTGTATGGGCAATTGGCACAAAAGCACGAGAACGCGAGAACGCGAGATCGCGAGATTTGTCAAATCGCAATTCGCGTTCTGCGTTCTCGTGTTTTGAAAATCGTTACATAGAACTGTATCGGCAATTGGCACAAAAACACGAGAACACGAGAACGCGAGATCGCGAGATTTGTCAAATGTCGCAATCTCGCGTTCTCGCGTTCTCGTGTTTTTGAAAATCGTTACACAGAACTGCATGGGCAA